AATTTCTGAGTTAAACAATAAGGAATAAAGGGCTAAATTTTTTTTTGTGTAGCCGTGCTCTAAAACAATGTTACATAGACTCCCGGGAAACAGTACATGGTCAGTTGCTACCTGCCTGGTTTCCTACTGTGATACCACTGACCAGAGGTTTTTCATATCATCTCTGAACAGACTGAATAGAAAATACCTGCTAAATTCATATAGAAAACTCTAGTGGTGAGTGGTAGCATCATTACCTCTGGGCCAGGAGGCCCAGGTTTAAGTTCTACCTATTCCACCCGTGTCATTACATGTCTGGACATATTGATTAAAATATCTACAGAATTCACATATAAGAAGAGGGTGCAAAAAAGTGCACGACATCTAGATGGAGAACTTCTGAAGATATGATCTCAGTGCAGGTTGGAGGAGAGTGCAGAACTCATGCTATGTTGCACATAATTCATATAATTGATTCACATAATGTCTTTATCTATACATGTATACAAAGAACCACAGCGTGTATAATAATTGTAATCAGGCACATAGTGCAGGATATAATGACATTACAGTGCCCAAATGGCTACTCAAGCTTATTTAGTCATAACGTACCACGTTCTCCATTCATAAAAAAGGAAGATATCAGTTACAGGCTCGAGAAACAATATTCACCAGGATATCAACTTCCACCAGCTCTTCTTGAAGCAATTTCTGCCAGCCCACCTACAGCTTCCCTCCAACATACTTTAACTAATTCGGAGAATTATGTAGTGATGTTAAATGTGAGTATGCTTATGCTTGGGGGACTGTGGGTGAGGGGTTGGAAATGGGAGCAATGATAATGGTTAATGAGCATCTAGCTGCATAGAGCGGGCATCCTCTTTGCCATCCTCTTGAGTTGCAATGAAATTTGTTTTTTTATTATTCATTTATGGAATGTGCACGTTGCTGGCTAGGTCAGCATTTATTGCCCATCGCTAATTGCCTAGAAGCAATTGCAGTTGTGAGTCAACCACAATGCTGTGAGTCTGGAGTCATATGTGGCCAGACGAGGTAAGGATGGCAGTTTCCTTCTCTAAAGGACATGAGTAAACCAGATGGGTTTTTCCAACAAATGGCAACGTATTCACGGTCATCATTAGACTCTTACTTCCAGATTATTTTTAAATTCAAATTCCACCATCTGCCATGGCGGGATTCAAACGTGGATTCCCAGGACATCGCTGGGGTTTCTGGGTTAACAGTCCAGCAATAATACCACTAGGCCATTGCCTCCCCAATATAGACCATAATGGGCATGGAAAAACTGATGCTAATACAAGAGGACTAATATACTGAGCATACAGTTGCCTTGCAATAACAGTGAAAGTTGGACTGGAAGTGAGAACATTTGAGTAGCTAGATAACAAATGCCAGGGACCCAAGTCAGGCTGAGGCAGAAAGGCTCATGGACAGCATGGCCTCCCCTCTGTCAATTGAGGCCCAGTGGGAGGCAATTAATGCTGAGTGAAGGGCCTCATTATCCCACTTTCCACACCACTTCCCAACCCCAACCACAGCTATTCAACCAGGAGGGGGCAGCGGAACTCACTATGCAGAAAGCCCAACAAATAACAATGATTGTACACAGGAAAGTCTCTGCATTTTAGTTTGAAATTGAGTATAAGGCAATATTTGTTGTGATGATGTCAGAAGTAATTGGAACAATGGAGATATTCTCATCAGTAATCTTAGACTTCCATGTAAGTTACAAGAGGTCATCGCCAGTAACAAGATAGAAAATCTAAAAGAAATAAAGATTGCCTCATATTCTGTTCTGCTGGAACTTAATTTAATTGCGAAGATCAATTCACCATTCAAAATTCATCCACCCACAAAGAATGTAACTATCCCTTGACATAGCAGCTAGCTGATTCTTAATTAATTCTTAGTTCCAGCAATATTACAGCCACCAAGGGCTGAATTTAATCCCATACTCCGGGATGAGTTAGATGGCGGGCGTGGATGAGGGTTGTGGGGGGGCGTCACTTCATTGGCAGGAACATGTTTACTGGGGAACTAAGTAAGTCTGAGGCAGAAAGAATCACGGACTGCATGAGCCACCTCACACCCCCCACCTCCTCTGCCAATTGAGGCCCCATGGTAGGCAATTAATGCTGAGTGAAGGGCCTCATTATCCCACTTTCCACACCTCCCCAACCCCAACCCCAACCACAGCTATTCAACCAGGAGGGGGCAGCAGAACTCACTATGCAGAAAGCCCAAAAAGCAGACATTATCAGGGTTGCAGGTATGTTTACAGAGATGTAATGGGGGTAGGGGCTTATTCAAAGGCACTCAGATGAGTAAGGGACAGAGCATCAGGAAGGGTGAGCAGGCCCACTTAGAACCATTCCCATGCTCTTGCTGCTGACTCTCCTTTCCAGCTTACTACTCCCTTAGTCACCCATGTCTGTATCTCTCAATGAGCTTGTACTTCTGGTGAGTCCATTCCTGATAGTAGCTATCACTCCCTGTGAAAATGCAGAGGAGTGGACAGCCAACAGTATCAGATTGGCTGACAGCTCTCAGTGACCAATCTTCCTGTCCCAAAGTCCTTTTTCTTGGGAAAAGACCATAACTGCACATGGCTAAGTGCCTAGCTGGCTCTTAATTTAGCAGGCCTTTCCAAAAGGAGGTGACACAGAACTAATAGCATCTCTCCAGCTGTACAAGCTCCCAGCACCTCCATTAAGTGTGGGAAGCTAGTCTAATTGTGACCACAGAAACTTTGCTGAATGGTATAAAACCTATCTGGTTCACTCATGTCCTTTGGGGTAAGTAATCTGCCAGCGCTACCTGTCTGGCCCTATATGTGACTCCAGGCTCTCTTAACTCTGAAATGGCCAAAACAAGCCACCCAGGTCAAGGGCAAGCAGGGATAGGCAAAAAATGTTGGCCTTGCTAGCAATGCAAATATCCAATGAAAGAATAAAGGGGAAAAATGTTTGGTGGGAAAGGTATTAGAATAGCCGTGATTGGGTTTGGGGCTGGGTCTCAGGGATGGGATGGGCTCAGAGAGGCTATAAGGGAAGATGGAAGAGAAACTAGAGAAAGATGTAAGCTCCAGGCTAGGCCCGTAGGGAGGATTAGAGATAACTTGTCCAAATGGGCTTGTGGAATGTGGCAGGGGTAGCTAATCAGTGGTCTCAATCCTGTTTTTCTTCCTCTTTTTTTTTCTCTCCGTCAGTTAATTCCACTGACAAGTGGCTTATTAATCATCTTCTGCCACTTATTATTCGAGGTTAGGATTAGGGTAGGCCAAATGGGAGTAGAGTTTGTCAGCGGAGGAATTGTAATAAGGAAAGGCACTTGGATGATCCTGGAATTGGAAGTAATTTTAGCCGATAGCAGCAAATCCCAATAGCTTCAAGTAGCCCAGCTGGATCTGCTGACTGAATCTATAGACTTAGCAGTTGGGGGGCAGAGGGAGAGATTTAGTCTGATTTACTTCAATTGGGCGCGTGAAAAGTCAATACAAAAATGGGATGGGGTGATTGGGGTTACTGCTTTTGATGGGCCTGTGTTAAGTCCCTTTATAAACTCATTGTGGTATGCCAAATGAGACACAAGGGGAGCAATAGTCTTGTCTAACAAGAAAGTAGCCATATCTGGGATGGCAGCATGTTTGAAGAGAACTGAAGTGTTGGGGAAGGGAAATAGGAGACTACAGTACATGAGAATGGAAAAGTAACATGTGCATGACAATACGTGGGAAGGATATAGGAGGAATACAGAAAAAGACTAAAAACAATGTGAGCAAAAGTATAAATAAATTGATGGGCTTGGGTCGGGAGCAGTAGCTAACATTCAAGTGCCAATGCACTCAGGAAGTGCTCGCATTACTTGGGTCTGATTCAATCCTGTAGTAATGAAAGGAATAGTGTTTTGTAAATCTGCACAGCATAGACATTCCCTCAAACATTGACATGATGGAGTTGTTGTCTGGTACCAATTGAATAACCCTCAATTTATTTGTAGTTTTGACAAAAGCGAGTCAGAACCAATTTTTCTCTTTACAGTTGTAAATGGATCATAAGTTGCACATCCAGCACATTTTGCTTTGACTTACATTACAGTTTGCAAATTATGTAGAAAAATAAAGAGCATGCTATCCAAGATTCTATACCTTTTTTTACACAAATAAAAATACTTTCAACTCGAATAAAAACAGAAAATATTGGAAATACTCAGCAGGCCAAGCCGCATTTATGGAGACAGCATTAGAGTTAATGTTTAAGATTGACGATCTTTTATAAGTATAGTTCATTGACCTGAAACACAGGATGGAATCTTCTGCCCTTTCGCAATAAACCCGAATCAGTAACATTTCTATGTCCCAACATTATTCTGTCAGTTTGCCCATTTGGGAGATATTCCTAAAAGCAGCGATGCAATCCGGGGCTTCAAAGTATGGCTTCTACCTCTTTTGCAGGAGGGAACATGAGGACGCCTCCATTTTAACTCAATGTTACTATTCCAAAACTCCACTTGGTCCTACTTGGAAAGCCGTCTTCTGTAGGAGCAGAAAGATTCAATCCTTTGACTTTATTTTTCTCTCCACGGATGCTGGCTGACCTGTTGAAAATTTCCTGTATTTTTTTTGTTTTATGATACCAACATCTGCAGTATTTTGCCTTTATAAATTTGTCACAGTGTTTGACAGTGATAACTTTTAAAACTGTGCATTTATTGTGAAAAATAAATGTGTTGGGGGGTGGGTTAAAGTATCATGAATTCAGACTTAAATTAAACATATCCTTTTAGTCTGATAACACAGTAAGATCATCAACAACACAAGGTGAATCAGAGCAAGTGCAGCAATGTTAAGCCCAAGTCTGTATAGCACCAAGATACATATGTTGTAATTTAACATTTTGCGAAAGATTGGCATCATATCACTGCCATGTCTAAGAACAATTGGATGGATATTAATTTATTAAACCATTTATGCCTTGACATGCATTAAAGATTGACTCTACCTTTGCTCTTTTCCTCTGCTGCCCTTGGTTTCCTGTGCGTTTCTGTGCAGCAAATTACAAACAAGTGTTACTTACTGATCAAAGCAGACAGAAAAATTACAAATCTTATGGTGTTAATGGCATGATTTTTCTTTCAATTATATATTGTACTACAATTCAATTGATTATGAAGAGATTGACAGCTTATTCTACTGTGAGGTCAATACACACAGACATGTTTGTACATTTATGATTTAAGAAACAATTTGAGGATAAATGTTGAATTTTCTTATCTCCACACAGTAGCCTTAAACAGGGAGCTTTTTCAGATTGTACCTACAACCACAATTCCAAGCAGCGTTTTGTACTTTGCAAATGGAAGCACTAGCAAGGCAAAACAAACAATACTTGTAGAAACCAAAGCTTGTGCACAACCTGTAATAGAAAGTCCCATTGATAGCTTTGCAAAATAAATGAAGTATATACAAGGGGATAATGAAATGATCCTGTATTTTGATTGATGCATGTAGGACAGTGGATGTTGTCTATAATGGACTTTACTGATGCATTTAGCAAAGTTCCTCATGATAGGCTGCTCCAGAAGATTTGGGATCTACAGTGAGTTTGTAAGTTGAATACAAAATTGGGTGGGTCTTAAAAAACAAAGGGTAGTTGTGGAAGGGTGTTTTTCTCTTGTGACTGGAGGTCTGTGACCAGTAGTGTTCCACAAGAATCAGTGCTGGGATGTCTGTTGTTTGTAATTTGAATGAAAATGTAGTTGATCTGATTGGTAAATTTGCAGACAACATGAAAACTGGTGGAGTTGTGGGTAGTGAGTAAGTTTGTCAAAAGATACAGCAGGATGTAGACAGAATGGCAGATAGAGTTTAATTCAGATAAGTGTGAGGTGATGCATTTAGAAGGTCAAATGCAAGAGGAAAGTATACAGCGAATGGGAAAACCCTGAGGAGCATTGATGCACAGAGAGATGCTGGGGTGTAAGTCTACAGCTCCTTGAAAAAGGCAACATAAGTGGTTAAGGTGGTAAAGAAGATATTTTACCTTCATCAGTCAAGGCATTGAGTATAAAGTTGACAAATCATATTGCTGCTATATAAAACTTTAGTTAGGCCACATTTGGAGTATTGTGTCTTGTGGTTGGTTGGTTCGCTGAGCTGTTTGTTGTTCCGCAGACATTTCATTACCCTGCTGGGTAACATCATCAGTGCAGCCTCCGATGAAGCGCCGTTGTGTTTTCCCGCTGGTATTTAAACTCTGGAGTCCGTTGAGTTGGATTACCTCTCTTCCGGTTTTTCCTTTGCAGTGCAGTGTATATGGGGTCCAGCTCTATGTGTATATAACCCCATATACACTGCACTGCAAAGGAAAAACCGGAAGTGAGGTAATCCAGCTCAACGGACTCCAGAGTTTAAATACCAGGCGGGAAAACACAACGGCGCTTCATCGGAGGCTGCACTGATGATGTTACCCAGCAGGGTAATGAAACGTCTGCAGAAAAACAACGAACCAGCTTGGCGACCCAACCAACCACATCATCCACAACCCGAGCTACAAATCTTCTCTAAAACCTTGGAGTACTGTGTATACTCTGGTTTCCACATAATGGGAAGGTTGTGGAAACTTTTGAAAGTTTCCAAAAGAGGTTTACCAGGATGTTGCCTGGATTGGAGTGTACTAGCCAAAAGGAGAGATTGGACAATCTTGGATTGTTTTACTGAGCATTGAAAGCTGAAGGGTGGACCTGATAGTATTATACAAAGTTATGAGACACGTAGACATGGTGGATAGTCAGAGATCTTTCCTCAGGGTGAAAATGTCAAATGTCAAGGGGGCTTAGGTTTAAGGTGAGAGGGGGAAGTTTCAAAGAGATGTGTGAGGCAAGATTTTCACACAGAAGGTGGTAGGGGCCTGGAACACACTGTCAGGGGAGGTGGTGGAAGCAGATATGAGAGTAACATTTATAAGGTATTGAAACTGACAATGAATAGCCAGAGAACAGAGAGATACGGACTATGTGTAGGCAGACAGGATTAGTTTAGAATGGCATCATGATTGGTACAAACATGGTAGGCCAAAGAACCTGTTCCTGAACTGTACTGTTCTATGTGCATAAAAATCAGCAATCAATAGAATCAGCAGTTGGGAATACAGACAGTATTATCTTATGGGTCATCTCACCTGATGGTCAGCCTTTGTGTCATTTGCTTTATCATCTTTGTCCTTCTCTTTCTCCTCTACCTCTGAGCTTGCAGTTCTAATGATGCACGTCTCTGGGGAGGGTGGAGAAATGTCAACATCTTGCTCAATCCCAACCTCCTCTGCAGTCTCTTGGCTCACTGTGTCTTTCTCAGACATCCTCACAGTAAAGAATTACACAAGTAGAAGATGTGGTGACCTATTGGGGTCAAAACATCATAAAATAGACCATTTTATTCTCGGAAAGAGTAGCCCCATTTCCTTTCAAAATTTAGTCAGCTGGATATTACTATCACAGTTTTCCGTCTCAACCCAAGTCTGGGCACTGGATTTCTCAAATGGTGGGGTTTCCCACCCTACATTCTGAAGAGTAGGTGGGAGACACATCCCCGCTAATAATGTCTGCCCTGCAGCTATCTACATTTCGAGGGACATTAATAGGCTAAAGGTGAGATTTCTGTAATTGGTGGCTAATCAAATGGCTGGCAGCGCTATAATCCCAGCAGCACCAGGTTGAAGCACTGCTGGGATAGCAGGCAGTTAATTCCTGAAGAGGCACAGCCATTGGAGGCCATATTTAAAGTGAATCCAGTGTGGCAGAGGGGTCTTGATTGGAGCGAGGCTCCAGTGAGAGTTGTGAGAGGTTTCGGGATTGGGGTGAGGGGCAATGGGTTTGAGAGGCCAGAGGGAGAGGGTATGTGACCTTGGGTGGGTGCTTCTAATAGAAACAGGGGAAACCCAAAGCGGGTACACCCCACTTGCCAGGCACAAGCTCATGTAGTGAGAGTTGCTGGGTTGCCTGTTTGGTATAGGTCTCTCCTCTGTTATGGGTAAAATAGTCATGGGGGCATGCTGAGACACTTAATTAGCTGAAGACGGGTCTAGGCCTGAAACGTCAGCCTTCCTGTTCCTCTGATGCTGCTTGGCCTGCTGTGTTCATCCAGCTCTACACCTTGTTATCTCTTAATTAACTCCATTGTTTTTGTTCCTGATTTACAGCATCCGCAGTTCTTTCGGTTTTTAATTAACTCTATTATTTGACAACTAAAGGGCCCCAGACTGGATGGTCTACCCAGCACCTGCACTGGTCCCTGTAAATTAGAAGAGTGACTGGGGAGCAGGTGGGTAGGAAGTGGACAGTCTTTGCTCTGCATTTCACAAGAACCTCACCTTCAAAATGCCAGTGGGAGATTGTAAATTTCTGCCTCATGTTGTCCACGTTCAACATTCTTTATAAATTCAACAGATTACTGTTCAATCCCAAATTGTTCAAACAAATATATAAGATAAATTTGGTAAAATTGTGGTCAACATTTTGAGCCATTGAATCTTTATTCCTCAATTTGTGAGTGGTTATTTTCCAGTTATATTTGTTGCACTGCTTTGAAATTTGAAAATGGTACAACATTGTTGGAAATAAGTTTAATAAATATTGCTGTCAAATGCATGTAATTAAGCTACAGCTTCCATTTCCCAGGGGCAAATGCAAACAATCCGTGAAATCTACCTGTTAGAAGGAATCTGCCTTTAATCAATACATGTTAGTTACAATGACAAAAAAAAATCAGAACATTCAAATTAAGTTGACAGCATTCTGCTGAAACACTTTGCACGTGGAAACAGATAGGGATATAATATTTCTGGGACTCCAATCGGTTGGGGAACAGACAGACGTACCTGCAGCTGCAGATTTTATTTTAGAATGATGCACTAACTCTGTGGTGTCATGATCCTGGTTGTCACATCAAATATTCTGAGGACTAGTGAATTGTGGAGTAAGAACGGGGAGACGGAATGAGAAATCGGTACTAGTGAATAATGAATGATGGATGCCATCCTTCAGACAGACATTAAAGATCTCGGTAAGAGATTAGTAAACAGATCTTCAAAGCTCACAATTTTTATGAATACCACTGGTGCCACCACTAGCAAACACAGGACCGTGTTTAAGTTAATTTAAGGGAATTGTTTCAGGGAAGTGGGATTAGAAAGGAGAACCATGATGTACAAGGGATTGGGACAGACCGATAGGATTAAGCTTAGATGTTGGGAAAGATCCGACAAAATCAGAACACAAGAACATTTGCAGAAAATAAGTTTGTTGAGTTCAAGGCACAATTAGCCATGGGGGAAATGATGCTATGCACTTAGATCCAAAAAAGAGAAGTTTGGAGAACTAAATATCCCTGAACGTATTGTGCTCAGGAAAGAAATATAATGAATGAAAATCGTTTGTGGTGTATTGACTAAAGAGAATATAGTAATGTAAGAACAAGACAAAACCATAGAGACGTCATTCTAGTTTGGATGTATTCTATAACTCATCAACTATCAAGATGGCCATGGAGGAGCGAATCTATAAGCAAGGTACAGAGAGCAGTGATAATGAACGTCAATTGTCCTAATTGAAGCTGGAATAGTAATAGTGTAAAGCACCAACAAAGCAAGAACTTTCTGGATCAATACATTTCCAGCTCAATGAGGAAAGATAAATTGCTGGATGTCATTTGGGGAATGGAGTCAAGCAGAACAAACATGTACAAGGTCAATTCGAGATTTGTAATCATTGAATCATAAAGTTGAGATTATCAATGGAAAAATATGAGGACCAATCTAATGTAAAAATACTTAGATAGAAGAGGGACAATGTCAGGGTGTTGAGAATGGATTTGGTCTGGGTAAAGTGGAACCAAACACTGGCAGGTTGAATTGTAATTATACAATGAATTACCTTTAAAGAAGGAAGTGTTTGGGCAGAGAGTACATACAATCTCAACAAAGGGAAAGGTGAGGCAACCAAAACCAAAGATCCCCTGGAGCGATAGCAGAGATGGAGAGTCAGACAAAGTCAACAAGAGGTGGGGGGAGGGTGCATATGGCAGATGTCAGAATAACCTCACAGCGCCAGGGACCCAGGTTCGATTCCACCCTCGGGCGACTGTCTGTGTAGAGTTTGCACATTCTCCCCGTATCTGCATGGGTTTCCTCCGGGTGCTCCGGTTTCCTCCCACAGTCCAAAGACGTGCAGGCTAGATGGATTGGCCACGCTAAATTGTCCCATAGTGTCCAGGAATGTGTAGTTAGGTGGGTTATAGAGGGATGGGTCTGGGTGGGATGCTCGGAGGGTCAGTGTGGACTTGTTGGGCCGAAGGGCCTGTTTCCAAACTGAAGGGATTCTATGATCTACGAACAACATAAAATAAAACCAATCTTCAAATAGAAATTTTAGAGTACAAATGAAAAGGGCAATTAGAATGTGAGCAAGGAACATCAGAATAAACTAGCCTCCAATATAAAATGAAATGGTGCAACAGTAATGCCCCTATCCCTGGACCAAGAGGGTCAGGTTTGATATCTCTGAATAGGTTGATTTGAAAATGAAACCTAAATGTCTTCTATAGGCATTTAAGATTAGAGATGATAAAAGAAATGTATGCATGTAGGTAGAGGACCAATACAGAATACACTACAGAATACGCTTTGCACCTGTCTTTTCCAAGGAAGAGGATATTACAAATTCACAGTAAAATGAATCGGTGTTTAAGAGACGGCATTGGTTAAAAAATGTTAAGCTGAAGGTTTTAAAAGGCTGGACATGTTTAAAGTAGAAATGTCATCATGGTTTTGGATAGGATGCCCTTATAGTATGCTGAGAAAAGTAACTGTGGAAATTACAGAGGTACTGACCACAAATATGGTAGTGGACTGGAGAATTACAAACATTGTGTTAACCGTTCAAAAAAGAGTGTAAGAATAGACCTAGGAACTACAGGCTGGTCAATTTAAATCAGTGGTTGGAAAATGTTGAGAAATAATAATCTTGGACACAATTAGCAGTTGCTTGGACCAGTGAAGATTAATTAAGAAAAGCCAGAATGGGCTTGTGGAAGGTAAATTGTGCTTAACTTACATGATTGAACATTTTAATGATGCAATAGAAAGGGGCAGTGAGGGTAAAGTGACTGATGTCATGTATGTGGATATCAAAATGGCAAATGATAATTTGCCACATAACAGGTTTGTCAACAAAACTGAACTTTATGAAATAAAGATGGTAGTAATAGCATAAATACAAAATGGCTGAAGGACAGGAAGATGGGGTGAAAAGTTGTTTTTCAAACTGGAGTCAGGTATACAGTCGTTTTCTGGAGAGGAGTAGGCCATTTTTGGACCTTTGAGCCCGCTTCCCATTTAATATGAGCATTGCTGATCTGATGTTGCCTCAACTCCACTTTCCTGCCTGCCTCATCACCTTTGTTTATCAAAAACCTATCCAATACAACCATGAATAAATTCATTGACCCAGCCTCTACTGCTTTATGGACAATTCTACAAAATTAAAACCTTCTGAGAGAAAGAAATCCTCATCTCTATCTGAAAAGGGAGATACCTTATTTTCAAACTGTGTGCCCTAGTTCTTGTTTTCACAAAGAAAGAGAAATGCCCTCCTAATATCCTTCCTATTGAGGCTCCTCAGGAGCTTACATTTTTCAATAAAATCATCGCTCAACCTTTTAGACTCCAGTGGATATAGGAGAAACTGTTCCTATTGGTGGAAGGATCAAAGAACATAAGAACATAAGAACTAGGAGCAGGAGGAGGCCATCTGGCCCCTTGAGCCTGCCCCGCCATTCAATAAGATCATGGCTGATCTTTTTGAGACTCAGCTCCACTTACCCGCCCACTCACCATAACCCTTAATTCCTTTACCTTTCGAAAATTTATCTCACCTTGCCTTAAAAACATTCAGCGAGGTAGATTCACAATCCTTTGGGTGAAGAAGTTCCTCCTGACCTCAGTCCTACATCTGCTTCCCTTTATTTTGAGGCGATGCCCTCTAGTCCTAGTTTCACCTGCTGGCAGAAACAACCTCCCTGCCTCCACCTTATCTAGTCCCTTCATAATCTTATATGTTTCCATAAGATCTCCCCTCATTCTTCTGAATTCCAATGAGTATAAGCCCAGTCTACTCAGTCTCTCCCCATAATCCAACCCTCTCAACTCTGGAATCAACCGGGTGAATCTCCTCTGCACCCCCTCCAGTGCTAGTATATCTCTTCTCAAGTAAGGAGACCAAAACTGCACACAGTACTCCAGGTGTGGCCTCACCAGGACCCTATACAGCTGCAGCATAGCCTCCCTGTTTTTAAACTCCATCC